AGTAACACAGCTGGTCCCCCTTGGTGGCCCGCCCTGCCCCACAGCACAAGGTCCGCTTGGCCACAGAGGCACTGTGGTCCTCACCGCTTCCCCTCCTGTCCCAACCCGAGGCCTCCTCAGACGGCATCCTCTTCCCCAAAGCCTGGGAGACGCACCTCCCCTCTGTCAGGAAGGAGGGAGAGGTAGCAAAGACTTGGTCATGAGGCTTTTGTGGTCACCATTCTGTCAGTTTAAAATCATCTGCTCCATCTGTCCATGCACCCGTGTGCAGCCCTTGCACACAAAACAGGTGCTTGGGCTGCACTGAACGGAGACACGCACGCATGTTCCTCGTCAGGGTCTGCATAAGTGAGAACACACAGGCCGGGTGTGTGTCTGTGCCGCATGTTTTTATGCAATGCCAATTAGCTTCTACTAACCGTGGTTAACTAGAAACCCAACGTCTATCTGTGAATAAACGAGACTGCACAGCATGGAGGAGACAGGACACATTGTCAGGGAGGGCAGGGCTGACGGTGTCTGAGCGTCAGGAGGGAACTGGAGGAGCGCGCTCCACACGATCACACCAGAATACTTATTTATTTCTACTTAACGTGACAGGATAGGCAACTAGGCAGTGGTCAGTAACACAGTTAGCTTTACCAAAATGAAGTTCAAATCACTTTAAGTTTAGAATGCTGTAGCAAAAGATACGTATTTATACTGGAGTATTTTTTCACCTCTCACATTCTCAGTTCTAAGTTTGAGACCGATGGAAATCGGACCAGATGTGAGAAGCCAGGGGTGGGGACATGGAGACGGCTTGCTGGCACCAATTCCTGTCTGTGCCACTCTGTCTCCACATCCCTGTGGTCACAGCTCAGCCCAGGCCACGGGTGTCCCTCTGGCCACTGGTGGACCGAGACCGTGGCAGTGGGCAGAGTCTCCTGCCCCCACCCCGGGCTGCTTCTGTGCTCAGGCACTGTCTGTGGCTGCTTCAGCGCCGCATCAAGTGGTGGGGAAGAAACCTAAAATGTTCACCATCTGCCCCTTTATGGGGAGCGTGTGCGGGCCTGCCCTGGGGGCCCAGCCCAGTTCCCCTCTCCTGAAGCCTGCACCACATGGGGCACCCTGTCGTCACCTGTTCCGTGCAGGCCAGGTTGACAATTCAGCTGTACTGTGAAGTTACCAATAGGCTAGAATGTCCTTAAAACACCTACCCTCAGTAGCTCCCCACCACTGATTTACTACTGAACACTTGGTGGAACTGGGCGGGTCAGGGTGTGGCCCTTGTCCACGGGCATGCGGAGGGCACGGCCCCAGGCAGGGCCGGCCAGTGGTCACCCTGACCTTTGAGATGCTTTTGCTCTCCCTTTTGACTCTTGAAAAACCAAACCAAGCCAAACAACAAAGGAAACCCGCACAACTTAAAAGAAAACTTGAAAGGGATCGTATACTACTAGTTTGTACTAAGTTTTTTCAGGAAAGGGAAATAAATTTATATATATATGCAATATATTTTTACACTGTTTTGTTACCATTAGGGAGTTCTGAGTGTATCACTTTATCAGTGTGATGGTGACGTAGCGTCGACGTCTTGGGTGTTCTGACTCAGAAAGGCACATCTGTGGGCATCTAAGAGCCGTGCTCACCAGGAACGTCTATGGGTACAGGGTGGCCCTCCTCTCCATCCCCAGAGTGTGAGGCACGGTGTCACCTGTCAGAGCTGCTGTCAAGGCCTGGCTTGCAAACCTTTAGTGAAACAGCTCATGTCTGTCTGCATATTTCTCCTCCTGTGTTTGCTGTTGTTAACATTGTGTGTCAAATTGGTAAAGTGATAAATAAAGCTGTTGAAATGTGGATTGGTTACCCTCAAGGTGTGCGGTTTTTAGCATCAATCACACACGCAGGCCCTGGGAGGGGCTGAGAAAGGGACTAGAGCCACAGCCCGGGCAACCAGGTGAGATGTAATCTAGCCAGTGCAGCCCCAGGGCAGGCCAGACCCAGGAGGCTGGACCTAGAATTACGCATAAACATAGCGGCCCCAAAGGCAGGAATGAGTTCCTCACGTGAGCTCCAATCTGACCTCCCACACAAGCAAAACAGTTCTCAAAAATGAATATAAAGGCATTTTAAGACCCCACGGGGAATTTCCACCAGCAGACATTAAAAGAAATTCTCAGTGCAGAAGGAACATGACCACAGATGGAACATTTGGAGAGAAGTGTAAAGAGTAAACAGTAAATACAGATAAACAGTGTAGATAAGAGCTTTCTCTGGCAATAAAAAAGATTTCATTGAACAGTGGAAGTGGAAGGGGTGCACAGGGAAGTGCAGGCTCGTGGCTCCTGGACACGAGGGAAGAGCAGAGGTCCTGACCCAAAGGGCACCAGTCACAAACGAAATAGAATGACGCAGATCTACGGATCATGGCTGCTGATCTGGCAAGAGAAGGACAAAAATGATCGAGGGATGTTTAAAAGCCAAATATGTCTGTAATCTCAGCTGAAGATGGGACAGAGGAAGTGAGCGAAAACATGTGACCAAGCAGCAGAGACACTGGCCAGGGGGGCAAGGCAGCCCCCCAGGGAGCAGGGGAGATGCTGGAAAGGGACCTCCAGAGCGGGACGCAGACCAAGCCTCGCCAGCCCCACAGGAGCCTGCAGCTGGCCCCAGTGTCCCACCTGCCCTGTCACACAGGGCTGCTCCATCACACAGTCCCCCCCCCCCCCATGTCCTGGGCTCAAGAGCTAAGGCAGAGCCTGATGTGGGCAGCAGCTGGCCACCCTCTCTCACCTGCATCCACTTTTCTCAATGGTAAAGTCTTGTTAAGGGACAATTGCCCCCCTCTGCCACAGGGACACAACTCCAAATGCTGAAGCCATCACAATGCCATTAAAAGACTGTAATACCAAAAAATTGGAAAATTAGGCAATCTGAACAAAATCCTAGAGATAGATCTTATGATTCCTCAGGAAGAAACAGAAAGCCTGCACTGTCCTCTGACTTCAAAGTAACTAAGCAGAAATTCCCCCAGGCCTCGGTGGGGTGACACAACGAGATCTTTCTTACACAGAGTCCGGCCAGGGCCCAGGAGGGATCTGTCCAACAGGAGAGAAACAGGCCTGCTGGTCTGGGACAACGCCGGCAAGGCCACCAAGGGGAGGGAGGCCACCCCAGGGGCCTGGCAGCAGTTTGTCGTACTCACACCGGGTCTTACGGCCCCAAACTGGCTGTGGGGGGGGGTGGTCACTGGAGGGAGCACATGGGTGCTCTGTGAGGACAGGCCCTGCCACACCCTTTAGCCATGGATCAGAACCATTAGCCCAACATCTCCCACAGAGAAAATCCCAGGCACCGCTGACATCCTTGGGTCTCCAGGGAGCAGAGAGCTCGCCCAAGCACACTCTTCTCCTGGGGACGGGGGTGGCACAAACCCTGAGGAGGACAGACTAGTTGCCACCACTTGCACCTGCACGTGCTGCGTCAGAGGGGTCCTCAGGCCCAACTGTGCCTGTCACAGACTCATCACCACACCCTGGGGCAGGTGACATCATCCTCATGCTCTACAGAGAGGAAGCAGACACCCATAGAGTTTGAATAATTCAAAATTAGACACTCGGTGCTGTACCCACCACATAAAACCCTACACAAAATATTAACCGAATCCAACGGCACATTTGCAAAGGAAAGTTCACCATTACTACGCTGTGCTTAACTCAGAAGTTTAGGTTGTTTTAACAGAGGGAATCACTGTAGTTAACCATACTAACGGATATGGGAGAAAAATCACCAGTCAGCTCCATGGCTGCAGAATAAAGTGTCTAATAAAACTCATTCATTCATGATACAAACATAGCAAATTAACAACAGGAGGAGCTACTTCAACCTGGAAAAGCTGTCTACAAAAGTGCCACTGATCACACACCCCCTAGAACGAGGACACTGAAAGCTCTGACAGAAAGTGCTGAAAACACGGACCAGACAGGCTTCCATCGGAGCAGAGCGTCAACATGACCACTGTGGGTGATATGCAATCACCTGCAGCAAAGGCAGCAAGAACAGGGCTCGGGAGTAGGAAAACAGGAGCATAATGGCACACAGAGGTCAGTAAGAAAGAACCAAAGGGAATTTTAGAACTAAAAATATACATAATTTCTGAAATTAAAAATTCACTATACATATAACAGGCCTAATCTGAGATCAGGGCAGTAGAAATGACCCTAATGGAGCTGGGAACAAAAGATGGGAAAGAAGATTGGAGTGTCGGGATGCGTGTGGACTTGCGTGGTGTGTCACTGGAGTCACAGGAGGGAGTTGGGGACGGGGGTGAAGAGGGCTGGGTCAAACAACAATTTTGGAGAAATAGTGAGGAAAACTTTTCCAAATTTGATGAAAATTATAAACCCAGAGGTCTAAGAAGCTCATTGAAACGTAAGCAAGAGAAACCAAGTAATAGCATGGTGATCACTTTCAACAAGCTCAAAATGGATTAATGCTAAAATTTTTAAAATAAATAAATGATCCAATGATGAAAGAAACCTCCCCCCCCATACACACACAAAACCACATTTGCTGTGTCATGTTTTCCTGCTAAGTTACAGAAACCAATGCTGAAGGACACAACCACAACCAGCTGAGGAGACCATCTCCCGAGCAACACAAGGGACCTCCCCCACCTCCCAACAGGTACTTCTAGGCCTGTCTGCTCTTCTTCCTCAATCAGCTAAGTACTGTTTTACAAAACTACTTTGTTTTACCAAAAAAAGCAAGCATTTACACAAGATACAAAGCCTTTAAACTAAAAATCTAGTATTTTGCCCTGTTCTGCTCTAATTTTCAGAAATGCACTGCAAGCAAGAGAGCACAGGGGTAGATACTTTCACTGTGGGAGGTCAGTATTGTTAATGTTTCCCCAACTCCCAAGTGTTACTTTATTAAGTCCTGGAGCTAACCATGGTGCATAGCTTGTTTTATGAAAGAATTCAGGGAGAAAAACTCAGTTATAATTCATAAAAAGCCACTTTTTAAAACAATCTATTAGTTTATTGAACAAGGATTGAGTGTCACACAAAATCACTTAGCGATCAGACCCCATTCTCTTTCACATCAGGGTGAAAAATACTGCATTTTTTTATATCAAGATATTTTTGAAAAACTAATAATGTTGGCTCTCAAAATATATCAGTATATCGTTTCAAAACACATGAAAGGCTTTTTTTTTTTTTTTTTCTTGGTAAGATCTCGGTTGTATTTCAGGACACAGGAACAGCATCCTGGAGTCCGAGGGAATAATGATCCCAGTTGCCAGCTCTTTGCAAATCCTGCACCGTATACACCCTTACAGACTCACCTATAGACAGATCAATCCTTTCTCAGGATGTTCTAGAAAATCGAGCTACAGGCCCCAAATACTTTTCAAAACATTTAAGATAATTACGAACAGAAGACCCAGCTCTCACCAACACAAACACTAGGTAGAAAGGAATTTCCACATTTTACTAGCTGTGTCAGAGCGAATACAGATGCGCTGGCCACAAAACCCAGAGGCCAGGCATGGGTGCCCAGGGGTGGGGGTGGGGCTAGCAGCCTCCAAGGCTGGCGCTACCATGCGGGAAGAGGGCCAGAGTCTTCTTGAGCTCCTTGTAGCTCCAATGCAGCTGCTCCACCTCTGCCTGGTGCTGTGCCCGCACCTGGCTCAGCTCCTGCAGGAGATGCTCATTGGTGCTGACCAGGGAGCTGCAGGAGAGCACAGGGAATCGACACCTGAGCCCCTCCTAAAGGCCAGCCTGCGGCCTCCTGCCCCCGCCCCACTGCCAACACCCTTCCGTCTCCCACTGGCTCCTGCCGCCTGACTCTCCCCTCCAGACCGGGTGGCGCAAAACCTGACCCGAGCCCTCTGCTGCCCCGCTGCATACAGGCAGGATGAAGGAGCGGAGCCCATGATGGAGGGCTGCTGCCCCATCGCTCCAGCCACACCTGGGGGTGAGAAAACAGTCTGTAAAGCCAGCGGGACCATGTTCTAGCTCCAGAGAAGATGCCTAGTCTGGCATATTTCTAAGCCCTGGTCAGCTGTGAAAAGCCCCTTACAAATTCTGACGTAGGAGCACCTCAGAGTCCAGGTCTCACAGTGTTGTCAGTCACTTCTACTGCTATGAGGACTTTAGGAGGAGAGCGGTACTGTACCTGCCCACTCAGCCATCTGCAAAATGCTCTTGCCTCCAGTGAGCAGTGACAAGGGATGGATGGATGGATGTGGGGGGCCATTTTCCCAGATACTTGCCCCCACGGACAGACCCACGGAATAGCCACTGGCCAGGTGGAGGCCCAGAGCAAAGTGAACGTGAACCCCTGCTGCAGGGCCTCGTCCACATGGAGCCCACCACACTGCAGATGGGGGGCTGCCGGGTTCTGGGAGCCATCCTGCCTCGACTGCCCCTCCCTGCACCATGATGTCCACCTTCCCTGTTCTTCTGTTGCCTCCCTCTCTCTGCTCCAGCTCATCTCTCAGGAGCCCCTTCCCCTCTGTAACCTGTGAGTGGGATGGGCCCGCTGACTCCCTGGGAGGTCACAGCCCGGCTCCACCTAAGGCCACACGGCACTCAAGCCCAGGGGCAGGAGTGGTAGCCTCAACCTGAGGCAGGAGAAAAGAGGTGAGTTGGGCTCAGGCTCTGCACCTCTATCACGTGCAGGTGGCCCGTCCTCACCTTGGCCCACCCAGCGGCACACTGTCTCCCTGCGCCCAGCCTGCGCCAGCCAGCGCCCCCTTCCCATCACATGATTCTCAGAATAAACACTGGGAATAAACACTTGGCAATCCCCACAGCTCCTGCTCCCTTCTCACCACCCAGCACACAGCCAGGAGTAAGGGTGGGGTCCCCGTGTTCCGGGAGAAGTGACGGGAGCTGCTCCAGGTAGACTAGGACACCTGAGCATCTCCCACCATCTCTCACGTGCCCCTCACCTCCCCTGGCCACACTTCTGGTCACACCCGCAGGCCCCACCTCACAGATTACTATAGCAGGAAGGGACACCCTCAGGTGTTCCTCTGTGCCCCATGACGTGACCAGGGCCGGCCCTGCCTCCCTGAGCCACAGGGCCCACTCAGCGCCTCCACCCACGCCTCCCAGGGGCACCTGTGGCTCTCCTGAAGCATCTGGGTGAGCTCCTGGATCTTGTCATAGTGTGTCAGATGCTGCTTTAATTCCACAATCTCATCAGAGAGCCTCTTCACACTTGTCTGAAGTCCTGAAAGAGAAAAACAGTAACATTAGTTAGTGAAATTCACACTAAGCAGTTCAAACATTTAAGTTAGACCAGAGACACAAGAAAACAATGTAGCCTGGAAAAGTCCTTCTGTGCACAATTCAGACACCCTTGGCTTCTGCCCTTCAGACGCTCAAGAACTAAGTCTACACACAGAGGGCAGACAGTGCAGACAGAGGCAAGCCAGTTGCCAGCTGGGGCCCCTGCACTGGACCTGCTGCAAAGTTGCAGTGCTTCTCCTCCCCCAGGCAATGGGTTCTGGGGACAAGTGACAAGAGGCCCACGGGGGCCACATATCTCCGATATGTCCTCTGGTCTCATGTCCATCAGTGACACAGAGCGTTTGGGTTCCACCCATGTGACTCCTGTCTCTGGGTTTCCAACTCGAGAGGAAAAAAAATACCATTTATTGGCTCCAAAACCCAAATCCAAGATCCAAATAAATCCACACCTAGTCACATGACTGTGAAACTACACAGAGGCAATGAGAGAGCCAGAGCAAGAAGGTGCAGGCAGGGCCCCTAAAAGTGTTACAATGGGGCCACACTACTCAGCAACTGCACCTGCCTATGTTGCTGCTGCAGGGCTGGCGAAATGGATCCTGGAAAGAGGGCAGTGAGGGCGTGGTTTCGGCATCTCCCAGAATCCCCACATTTGTTCAACACCAAGACTGACTAGATGACAGAACAAGAGCCCCACAAACGACATTACAGCCCCTATGATGAGGCAGCCTTAAGGCCCAGACACAAGAGCCACAAGCCATGCATGGCAGCCACATCTGTGAGAGGGAAGTGGTGCTTAGCAGTGAGGCATCCACTAAGTGTCCCCCATTTTCACAGAAAACCTCTGCTGGACCACCGAGGACCCATGGCTGACACGAGAGGGGCTTGGCCTCCCCCATGAGGTCAGACCAGGGGGTCCCTGTGTGGTCTGAAAGGACTGCAGCAACCCTGACCCCATGAGGCTGACCTGTCCAGTCCCTTCCAGAAGAGGGTGGTACTACAGAGGAATTGCTGGTGAGGGGCCCAGGGGGGGCAGGACAGTGCTCCAGAGAGAAGTGAGGAAATGAACAGGGCCCTAGGGGTCCCCAAAGGGGCCACCATATTTCTCTAGAAGTTTGGAGCACTGAGGGCAGACCCCACACAAAGTTGCTGCCCTTGACAACAGCGGCCACACCCAGAACCCAGCAAACCCAGGACTGAGTATTTCAGAACGAGCGAAAGACTAAGAAGTGATACAATAAATGGAGGAACAAGTCAGAACTGAGGATGTCAGAGGAGGTAGCTGAACTCAGGCCCATGGTCATGGCAGAGAAAGCTTCATGGGAAATGAAGGCTGAGCAAGGAGGAGTCTGAGAACAAGCGAACAGCATGATGACATCTCAAGACACACATGAAAAGGGGAAATTTTTTACATGGAAGTTAATGAAAAGGGGCGCTGGCTCAGGTTGTGACCTTAGGTCCTGGAATCAAGCCCCATGTTGGACTCCCAGTGGGGAGTCTGTTTCTTCGTCTCCTCTACCTGCCACTCCCGCTGCTCGCTCTCTCTCTCTCAAATAAATAAATAAATAAATAAATAAATAAATAAATAAATAATCTTTAAAGAAAAGAAAATTTCAAGAAAATATTATAAAGAACTCAGCCTTCAACTAAGCAGCCCAAGGGACACAACAGAAGAGACCTGAGCAGCCTGTGGGCCAGGGCCATGATCTCATCTGTGGCTGGGCTCCTGCGACCCAGCCCATTGGGAACATGCAGATAGACCTGCTCTGAGGCCCTCCACGAATGGTTTTTGGACCCCTGGGAGGTAAGAACTGCATGACACTCAGTGGGCCAGTCCTCAGTGAAGTTAAAATTTCCAGGGGACCCTGCGGTTTACAGCCAGACGAGGCTCACAGAACACACACCACCTCCTCACTCAAAACCCGGGAATCTGAAATACCAAGGGCATCTTGGTGAAAATTTCAAAACAGAAGCAAAGATGGGAGAGATGGAGAGAAGAGTGACCTGAAAGAAATGGTGACCACAGAGAAAAAGCACTGCTCTGCTCCAGGAGTGGGGGCAGCAGAGGCACAGCCAACTGCATGCTCTGAGAGGCAGTGTGGGGGTGGGGGCTCCCCACAGTTGGTACTGCCACGGCTACCACCACGTCCAACCCGAGGCTGTGGAACGTGCAGGAACAGCTCTCATGAGCCAAGATGACCCTCACCACACTTTACAGCATGTACTGGACCTGAATTCTGAATCCTGTAACTTTTTTTTTTTTTTAAAGATTTTATTTATTCATGAGAGAGAGGTGGGGGCGGGGGGGGGGGGAAGAGGCAAAGACACAGGCAGAGGGAGAAGCAGGCTCCATGCAGGGAGCCTGACGTGGGACTCGATTCCAGGTCCCCAGGATCAGGCCCTGGGCTGAAGGCGGCGCTAAACCGCTGAGCCACCCGAGCTACCCTCCTATGAGTAACTTAAAATGAAGTCTACAATAAAGGGTTTGAACACTCAACATTTCATTAAATAACTTACCAAATAAACTACATACTCACCAGTGATCTGCACATTTAATGTAGCCGCAGTGTCTGCATTTTTTGCTTCTTTTTTCATGCTGAACAAAAGAGCCTTTAAGCTACTATTCTCTTCCAAAGATTTGTCTAAATGTTGCTTCAAGTCATCCTAAGAACATAGAACACATTTAAAACAGATAAATCAAATTCAGTAAAACATGCGTACGAAATCAAGGCAAATTTGAGACCAGCAGGCATCAGTTTTACTTTACCTAGCATAAGTGATAAATCAGGACGTGAACAACAGAAACCACAGCTGTCTCCAGGTGAGCAGCAGTGTCTTTCAGAGGGGACAGAGAAGGGGGGCACGCTGTGTGCCCAGCATCTCTGCTGGAGCCCTGCCTCCTCCAGGAAGGCCCCATGGTCACCACAGCCCAGCTCCCCATCCCTTCTCAAGGAGCAGGACAAGAGCTGGGCAGCACACCAGCCCCGTGTGGTCCCTTTAGGCTCACTTCTTGGGCAAAAGCATGGGCAGATCCCAGGGCTTCACATTCCCTGAGGCAGGCACTGCCCTGCAAGAGCCCCATTCTGTAAGCACGTGGATCCTACCTGCCATCCCCACCACAGGTGGGAGCTGCAGATGCAGTGGGCTCCTTTCCCATCCTCTGAGCCAGTAGCAATGCCCAGCACACCATGGACATTAAAGGGGAGGGCAGAGCAGTAACACACCGTGAGAGCTGGTGGCAAGGGGCCATCACAGCCACCTGCTGTCCAGAGCAGGAGGCTGCCCCGCCTGCACGACACCCGCAGACATAACCCCACCAGGGGAGCGAGTGGATCTGTCTCAAGGTGACAAGGGCCCCTGCGTTCAGAAAACAGCTATCCTCATTCTTCACCCTGATGGCCCATCCAGCACACTGACCCTCTGTGTGCACGCACACTCCGGGCAGTACAGAAACGGCCATGTGGCCAGTTATGGCCAATGGTTTGTCTCCCAAAAATGTGATGAGTCCTGAAAGGGCAGGGGTTGGGCCCTGGTCCTGAACAAGGTCTCAGCCAAGGCCGGAGCAGGGGCAGTGACCCATCATGCTCAGTTGTACACAGCCCTGCTGGGAGCATGCTAAAAAGGCTCAGGAGCAAGACCTTGGCTAAGGCCAGTTTCCTGGGCATCAGGACCTGAGGAGACCTGATGGCAGAACCAGCGTCTTCGGGATCCCTGGGTGGCGCAGCGGTTTAGCGCCTGCCTTTGGCCCGGGGCACGATCCTGGAGACCCGGGATCGAATCCCACGTCGGGCTCCCGGTGCATGGAGCCTGCTTCTCCCTCTGCCTGTGTCTCTGCCTCTCTCTCTCATTCTGTGTGACTATCATAAATAAATAAAAAAAAATTAAAAAAAAAAAAAAAAAAGAACCAGCGTCTTCACAATGGGGAGAAGTAAAGCTTTGTGGGGGATCTCTGAGGCGGCAGGTTCTCATAAAATACAGACACTGGTAGATGTTCTAGGGACTCATCTCAAAGCAGCCCCCTCGCTATTTTCATTCCCACCTTATGAATGATAATGGCCAATTCAGAAGCTGGGGGAGGCAGCTGCTGAGATGGCCCAAGAGTGTTCCCACCATCCTGTGTGTCCTCCCCTCACATGGGTGGACTTGCTGACTGGATCCTAACCCACCACATGCAAGCAACAACACTTCCCTCTCAAGAGCAGGTAACAAAGGACGGCCTCCTACACAGGTGCTCTCTGGCTCTGATCAGCAGCTGCCATGCCAGGAGGGCCTCAGGTGCCATGTACAGAGCATGGTGCCTGTGTGCGAGCCTGCAAGTGGATGCCTGCCTCCATCAAGCCTTCAAAGGGGACCATGACCCCACTTGGCAATATGACAGTAAGACCCTGAGTCAGATGCACAGCTCAGCTGCACTAGGACTCCTGACCACACGGGCTGCCGGTAATACGTGCTGCTAGTGAAGGGGCTGCACTCTGGGCAGTGATCTCTCTCTCTCTCACACACACACACACACACACACACACACGCACACACTCAGAGGCTTAAGTGACTTGCTCAGATGGAGCTGGCCACTATGTCCCAGTCCACCATCTCAACCACATGACACAACGTACTGACTCTCAGTACTGACTTTTTAAAAGAGGAGCTCTTGCAGATTCCACATAATAAAACTCAACTATGATGATCAGCAAGATGAAAAACACTACACTTGGCTGGATGCACCACAAAGATTTGAGGTGTGTGCCCTGCTGGGTCGAGTGCACGGATGTCCCTGCTCTCACAGAGCTAACATCTGTTGGGGAGGAGAGGACCTGGGAGCTACACTGACAGCCAATGTGCAGACCCAGCACCGCACAAGCAGTTCCGGTCCTGGTCTTCATCTTCCTCCACGGCCACAGCATGGGCCCCTTACCAACACTCCTGCCCCTGGTAACCACTTTCTCATTAGCAGATGGCTTCCTCTGTTATACAGGGACTTCTGAGTTCACTAGAGTCCCACTTATTTAGTTTTGTTTTTGCATTTTTGCTGTCAGATTAAAAAAAAAATTGAATAGACCCTATCAAGGAGTCTTTTCTCTTGTGTTTTTTAAAAGTTCTACAGTTTCAAGTCTTATATTTAAATCTTTAATCCAATTTGAGTTGACTTCCACATACGGTATCAGGGGTCGTCTTCCCAGCACCAATACTGAACAGACTGTCCTTTCCCTGTTGTGTATTCTTGGTACATGATGCCATTTGTATGTGGCGTAATGTTCCTGGGATCTCTATTCTGTTCCATCCATCTATGTGTCTGTTTATGTGTTAATACCATACTCTTTCCATTACTACAGCTTCCTTCACAATAAGAATTTGAAATCAGAGTGTAATACCTCCAACTGTTTTTTCTCAAGGCAGTTCTGACAAAATTTTAGGGGTCTCCCGTGAAACTAGAAAATGGAAAATACAAATTTTAAGAAAAATAATTACACAAATTTTAAGATTTTTTAAATTTCTGTAAAAAAATGCCATTGGAATCCTTACAGGGATTGCACTGAACCTGCAGATGACTTTCAGCAGGGTGGACTGTTTTAACACTATTACTTTTCCAATCCGTGAACATGGGATATCTTTCCATTCATGGCTCGGATTTCTTTTATCCATGTCTTACAGTTTTCAGTGTTGAAATCTTTAACTTCCTTGGTTAAAAATACTATTTTTACAATACAAAATACTATTTCTAAGTATTTTATTCTTTTTGATGCTATCATAAATGGGATTGTTTCCTCATCTCTAAAGAGACACAACTGATTTCTATTATACTGATTTTGTGTCCTGCAACTTTATTAAATTGATTAGTTTGGTTTTTTTTTTTAATTTTATCCATTTACTCATTAGAGACACAGAGAGAAAGGCAGAGACACAGGCAGAAAGAGAAGCAGACTCCCCACAGAGATCCCAAAGCAGAACTCGATCCCAGGACCCCGGGATCACACCCTGCGCTGAGAGCAGATGCTCAAATGCTAAGCCACTCAGGTGTCCCAGAACTGATTAGTTCTAACACGTTTTTGTTGTTGTTGTGAGTCTAGGACTTTTTACACATACAATCCTGTCCTCTGTAAACAGAGACGATCTTACTTCTTCCTTTCCAATCTGGATGTCTCATTTTCCCGCGTGCTCTTGCTACCATTTCCAGTGTTGTGCTAAGCAGACCTCATGAGAGAATATGTCTGTGTCTGGTCGCGGGTCTCAGGTAAGAAAGCAAGGTTTGGTGTTTTCCCACCAATCACGCGTTGCCTGTGGCCTTGTCATAAGTGACCTTTACTGTGCTGAGGAAACTTTCTATTCTGTTGAGACTTTTTATGACGGATGGATGGCTAAGTTTGTCAAATGCTTTTCCCCATCTATTGAGATGACTGTGTGGTTTTGATCTTTCAATCTGTTTGTGTGTATTAATTAGCATTTGTTGAACCAACCTTGCATTCCAGGGGGAAGTCCCACTTGGTCATAGCGTATATTTTTTTGATGTGTTCTTGAATATGATTTCCTGGTATTTTACTGCAGATTTTAAAATTATGTTCATCAGAGATATTAGCATCTAGTTTTCTTTTCTTCTGATGTTTTTGCTATCAGGATGAGGTTGGCTTCAAAAATGGGTATAGAAGTGTTCCCTCTATTTCTGTTTTCTCGAAGAGTTTAAGGAGTATTAATTCTTTCCTGAATGTGCAGTAACATTAAGCCATGAAGCCATCTGGTTCTGGGCTTTTCTTTGTTGGGAGGTTTTTGATTATCATTCAATTTCCTTATTTATTATTGTTCTGTTCAGGCTTTATTTCTTCTTCTTTTTTAGAGAGACAGAGAGAGAGAGAATCCCAAGCAAGGTCCATGCCCAGCACAGAGCCCAACATGGGGCTTGATCTCATGACCCTGAGATCTTGACCTGAGCTGAAATCAAGAGTTGGACACCTAACCAAATGAGCCACCCAGGCACGTACTTTATTTCTTCTTGGTACAGTCTTGGCAGGATGTAGGTTTCTAGGAGCTTACCCATTTCTTTTCTTTTTTAATAAATTAATTTTTATTGGTGTTCAATTTACCAACATACAGAATAACACCCAGTGCTCATCCCGTCAAGTGTCCCCCTCCGTGCCCGTCACCCATTCACCCCCACCCCCCGCCCTCCTCCCCTTCCACCACCCCTAGTTCATTTCCCAGAGTTAGAAGTCTTTATGTTCTGTCTCCCTTTCTGATATCTCCCACACATTTCTTCTCCCTTCCCTTATATTCCCCTTCACTATTATTCATATTCCCCAAATGAATGAGAACATACACTGTTTGTCCTTCTCCGATTGACTTACTTCACTCAGCATAATACCCTCCAGTTCCATCCACGTTGAAGCAAATGGTGGGTATTTGTCGTTTCTAATGGCTGAGTAATATTCCATTGTATACATAAACCACATCTTCTTTATCCATTCATCTTTCGATGGGCACCGAGGCTCCTTCCACAGTTTGGCTATTGTGGACATGGCTGCTAGAAACATCGGGGTGCAGGTGTCCCGGCGTTTCATTGCATCTGAATCTTTGGGGAGCTTACCCATTTCTTTTAGGTTGTCCAGTGTGCTCACTTATAAGTACTCGTAAGAGTCCCTTATGACCCTTTTTTATTTCTGAGGCATCCACTGTGATACCTCCTCTTTCATTTGTGTTTTTGAGTCTTCTCAGTCTAGCTAAAGGTTGGTGGATTTTATATTTTTTTCAAAAATCCAACTCAGTTTTGGTTTTCTTTCCCATTATTTTTCTAATTCTCTATTTTATTTATTTCTGCTCTGATGTTTACAATTTCCTTCATACCTCCTGTTTTTTTTTAATAAATTAATTTTTATTGGTGTTCGATTTACCAACATACAGAATAACACCCAGTGCTCATCCCGTCAAGTGTCCCCCTCAGTGCCCGTCACCCATTCACCCCCACCCCCCGGCCCTCCTCCCCCTCCACCACCCCTAGTTCATTTCCCAGAGTTAGAAGTCTTTATGTTCTGTCTCCCTTTCTGATACCTCCCACACATTTCTTCTCCCTTCCCTTATATTCCCCTTCACTATTATTCATATTCCCCAAATGAATGAGAACATACACTGTTTGTCCTTCTCCGATTGACTTACTTCACTCAGCATAATACCCTCCAGTTCCATCCACGTTGAAGCAAATGGTGGGTATTTGTCGTTTCTAATGGCTGAGTAATATTCCATTGTCCTTCATACCTACTGTTAACTTTGGGTTTAGTTTGCTCTTCTTTTTCTAGTTCCTTGAGGTATAAAATTAGGTTGTTTGATATCTTTCTGCTTTTTTAACATAGCCATTTACATGTTACGGTCTTATTATGAGGTTAGGAAGGATAAGGACAGCCCTGCCCAGCCAGGAGCCTTGGGCTCAGAGGCTGGGTTCAAGCTGTGCTGGCTCTGGCTGACTTTGGGCACCACCTGCTGGAGGAAATCCCTCTAGTCCAACAGCAGCACATCATGGGCTTGTGCTGGATGGTACTGGCAGGACAGCAGCTAATTGGAGCCTCTGCCTGGACCCAGGAGCACTGCAGCCACGTAAGCTCTACCTCAAGCCCAAGTTCATCCATGCTTTCTCCCTCACTCAGCCTCTCACAGAAGAGAGCAGTCACACAGGAGTGGCAAGGCTAGGACAAGCAGGGACACTGCTCTCTTCAAACGCCTGTTATGTAGGGTTTGGGAGCTATGCAGACAGGCAGTGCCCCCAGTGGTGGGGGGAGCCTGCTGCTGCGGCCTAACGGCAGCTAAGGGAAAGCACTCCCCTGATCTCTGAGGTTGAAACCCCTTGTGTGCATGAATGGAAATAATGCAAAAGCACGCTCACCATCTCCTTCTGTGTGTTGCTTAGTTCTGATGCCACCTCATTAATCTTTACATGGTACTGCTGCTGCTGCTCAGCAAGGTGCTTCTGTAGAGATTTATTTTCCAGAGTAAGGTAGCTGATTTCTTCACTCACAAGTGTTGAACTATCCTGAGTTGTTGTAAATTCTTGCACAGATGACAAAATATGTCTTGCCTGAGCTAAGAGTAAAAATCAGGTATTATTATGGCATTTATGTTAAAAGGATGAGGTAGAAACAAAGTACATTCATACATCTTGAGTAACACAAACTACATGCCTGAAAAACACTGACCAGCATGGAGAATGGCAAAAGGACATGGATACCACAGAAATCCCCTTACTCGGATTTCTGTACACACATCCAATTGCGGATGGGAGGTAGAGAGACAGGAAAACAGTTTTATTCCAGAGCAAAGGTGCCTATGAAGAGAAGGCCGTGCCCGGATAGTTAACGCTGGATGCCCCAGTTAGCCTGCCATGCTCCTTCCACAGCACTGGCTGCTGCTGCTCCTGGCCTGGGATCTGCCATGCAAACACAGTCTGGCAACTCCACAACTGGGAGCATGAGGGCAAGATTTATGGGATCAGGATCCAGAGGATCCAGCTTCTTGGGGAGTCCTGCTTCCAAAAGGAGAAGCCCTGGGGCCACAACACTGAGCATAGAGCTCAGCTCTGTGCAGGGCCCCCAGTCTACAGACAGAGGGGTGGGCAAGCTCCTGTTCCCACTGGCTGCACCTAGGCTGCAGGAGAAAGAGAAAGCTGCCACCTAGGAGGCAGCATCTCTCACTCTGGAAGAAGGGTAGGGGGTGTGCTCTCTGGCACCCAGGCACAGGCAGAAGCAAAGCCAAGTCCTCCCTGGGGAGGGACCACCTTCCTAGGCCTCGTTCTCACTGAAAGATCAGCAAATCCAAGGCCCTGCAGGAGATCATATGTTCAGAGGGTTCAAAGGAGACAGTGGCAGCTTTTTGATGTTTTAAAACCTTCACACAATACAGAGCAACAAGAATCAAACATCATCTGTGAACAGCATCTCCAACAAAACCAAAGTGACAAGGCATCTCCATAAACCCAAGTGCCAACAGGTAGGAAAACCAATAGCCACAGGCCTGCAGGACGCCCCTCACATCTCACACCCCATGGAAGTCCCAGCTGCTCTGAGGAAGGCTGTCAAGATGCTCTGTGCAGTGTGGTGGGAACAGTGACGGCAAGCGGAAAGGATGCAGCAGGGTGCGGGGCCCAGACCTCAGCAGAACAGCATCTGCAAACAGAATGCTGCCTGGAGGGAGGGCCCAATGCAGGTCTGAGCGGACCTTCCTTCCTGGCTCACCTTGGAACACCTCATTGCCATGCAGGGACTTGCAGCCACTCCAGTACCTGTCCACCAGGTCGAGGAGTGCCTCAAGAAGCATCACCTCCAGGGCAGCCTTCTTCCCAGGAGGCACAGCTGAATACAGTCTGGGAGCCACCTGCAATGGAAACAGAACTATGATGCTGAGACCAAGAGTTACTGCATGATGTGAAGCCTCTGACACAGGGATGCATGGCACCGCCCATGCATCATGTGGATACCCTCGTCCAGACATGTGCACAATGGGGCCATCCAAACTTCACAAGGCTGTAGCGGAGGCACATGGAGGCGCTTCCCTACCCTCAGACATGTGACCCTGGTGATATCCCACACTAGGAGGACAGGTAAAGGACACACTACAAGGTGACACCAAGTGTGACAGTCATGAAACCCACACATGGTTTAAGCCCTAAGGCTGTGGGAACTCCAGTCCCACAATGGCCTGTTCTGGGCCCTCCTGAACCAGTCCACAGGGACTCCTGGAGGAGACCCTTAAAGCTAGTCTCCACCTGAATGGTCATCAGACCACTGGCACCAGAAAAGCCCTGAATGTAATCAAGTCACACACTGGACCACATGGGTGGTCAGGCCAGGATGATGTGGCAAAAAGGGCTGCCAGGAGAAAGTATCAAGGCTCCACCCAGGGCCTGGCCACAACAGTGCTATATCAGCATGTACATCAAAGTCTCTCTCCTCCCTGCTTTTAGAAATTACTTTACCAATCTTTAAAAATTATCAAGGAAGAGAGGATGGCCTCTGCTCTCCTGACCACTTTCCAAGTATCCTGGGATTTGGGGGTGGAGGGGAGTAGAAGCTCACATCCATCTCCAGGCCAATGACCAGACCTGGGACACAGGCTAGTCCCAGGTGCCCAGGCAGCAGCTCCAAGCAGAAGGCTAGGGAGAGCCCCGCCTAGTGCTCTGCAGTTAGCTAATATCCAGAAGGCTTTTCTACTAATGAACTTCTTAAGACCCAGAGACTCTGAAATGAGGGGAGGCAGGTAAAGCCACTTCAGGGGGGACAGCTCCTCACCTCCACCACCACTGCCACCACTGCCTATCAGGAGCAAGCCCAGCAACCAAGCACTGCTTTGCCCAAGGTCACACTGGGGGTAGTGTGGCATGAAAACACTAAGGCCTGGCTGCTTGCTCTAACAAGCTAAGGCTGAGAGCATCTAGGTGAACATCTGGCACCAACATCTCCATCAGAAGCTGTATCTGCACATTTGTCCTTAGGCACAAATGACAGAGCCAGGGTCCTCAGTGCGCTCACTCAACCTTCTGTCTCCCACCCGAGGAACACAGGGTAGGTAGTGCCCTCTGCAAGAGGATGATCACCATGAGGCTGCAGCCCCAAGCCAAGGCTGCATCTCCTCCTGTAGTCACAGCCCTACAGTGACTGTAGGAGTTCTCCAGGCAAGGCTCTGCACCTGGAGAGGTCCATCTTTGGTGAGTGAAGCCAGGCCTCTAGGGCACAGGGAAAGGCTGGACACGTTCCTATCTCAAGCATATTCCTTATTCGTCTTCCTTCCCTCAATCCAGACCATGAGAGCCTGACCATACAATGACCAGACCCTCTATAAGGGCAGCCCTCTGATGCACAACCTACAGCAACCACGCCCGGAAGCCAGCCAAACACCTACAGCAACCAGCCAGGAGGCCAAACCATTACCCCTGTAATGATTGGTCCAAAGGCCAGAACTTGACCAGTTAAGTGATAAGTTCCCTAATTTTTCTCCCTGTTTACAACTCAGGACTGACCACAGGAAGTCAAATCACTCCACTAACCAACCACATGGGAGGTCAGGCCTCATTCTCCCTACCCCATGCTCCTCTCACTCCCCTCTCCCACTCCCCTGCCAGCACTGGGTATGTCTGCCAAACCAGCCATAGGGCAGATTTCTTGCCACAGTGTGCCCTGCCCGTGCCTGCCTGAGGTCAGCCCTAATTCCCACAACTCTGTGCCTTCATCTTCAACAAAGCCAGTGACAAAGGCAACAGAGTCATTACCCATATGTGGTTCTGGGTCACTCAGAGGGTGGGAGGACTCCCAGTCCCTACCCAGGATGAATCCTGTGTTAAACCACAGGATGCCTGTCCAGGACACCCTCACAGTAGGACCCCCCCCATGGTTCTCTGGTCAAGATGATGGGACCTCACTGCTGAGGCAAGCACACCACAACTGCTCCGGCCTGTGCCTACCCTCTTTCCTTCAAAGCATTGAGTGTGGCGTGAAATGGTGTGGAGCCCAGTAATATCCTTCCGACACACCAAGACATAGCAAATGCCGGGGAGAAGCCGGTATGGAAGCTTCTCCAGGGAGTCTGGTGAGCACAGCATGGGAGCAGGGCACAGCAGGGCTCAGCAGCCCCCTGCCTCACCATCCTGTCCTGCTCACCTCTCCACTGCCACTCCTGCTGTGGGGCCTCTCCCCTTCTGGCTCTGAGACCTCTGAGTGAGAAAAGGTCCTTTCACTCCTGCCCTCGGAGGCACTGTGCCTGCTCAGAGTCTCCTCAGGGCTCGAGGGCATGGCAGGCTTCTCCAGGTGGCTCAGAAACTCCTGGTTGGCGGGTGCCTGGAATCTCCCACCAGGCATTCTTCGCTTCCTGTACTTTTCAGGAACAGGCAATGGATTTACCACCATTTGTGTGGACAAACTTGACTTCTGAGACACGGCTGGGTCCTCAATGTCTGCGGAATCTGTAAGGAGGGTGGGATACAGCCCTCAGCAGACCAACTTCCCTGGCACAGTCATCACTACAATAGTTTAAAAAGGTGTGCATGCCTGTGTGTGTGCGTGTGCACACACATGTAGAAAATCCACCCAAAAGTGATAAAACTGAGCTAAGAGCTTTAAAAAAATCAATCAACCAATTACCGTGTTCTTGACAAAGACACGTACAACAAAGACAAGTGAGTAAAAACCTAGAATTAGGGGGCAGCCCAGGTGGCTCAGCAGTTTAGCACCGCCTTCAGCCCAGGGTGTGATCCTGGAGTCCCCGGATCAAGTCCCACGTGGGGCTCCCTGCATGGAGCTTGCTTCTCCCCCTGCCTGACTCTGTCTCTCATGAATGAATAAAAAAAAAAAAAAAAAAAAAAGAATCTTAAAAAAACACCTAGATTTTGGAAATTACAAAGGGTTTTAACCAATTTGCCCCTGCGTACCTCAGGCCCCTGTGCACTGTATCCCTCCCTGCTGTGGTCTTGAGGCAGCACAGATCCGGGCTCTGCCTGGGCCCCAGGTCCACACCCTCCTCGCCAGACCACCCCTCCAGTCCAGGCCGCTCTTCCGGGCTCTTGCTGCTGCGTCCCAGCATGGCTTCAATGTCTCCACAGCTCCTCAGATCTGCCATCCGCAGCCAAACCCAGGACTTCCCCCCCAGCAAACCTGTGCCTCAAGTGCTCGTGCCTTGAGTAGACTGTAGTCCTCCACCTGCTGGGTCAGAAGTCACCTGGACATCCCTTGCTCTCCCAGCCCCATGTCCACTGCTGAACCTCACCAAGTCCGCCCGACCACTGCCTCTTCCAGGGACGGGTCTGCTGTACCCACTGGGACAGACCTCACCCCCGACCTGTCCTCTACAAGCAAACAAACAGCAGTCACTCCGTGCCACCCCAGCCCTGCCCCAGGGACAGACACAGCCCACATGCTGCCTTACCTCGCCCTGTGACCTGTGTTCTTCCTTCTCCCCCTCCAGCCCATGGCCACTGCTTGAACCCACTCTCCCAAAATGCCCATCTGAGTCTGGCCACCATGAAGCAGAGTAGCAAGCCACGGTGAGGGTAAAAGTAAAGTCTGAAAGCCTTAACACCCCCTTCTGGATGCAGAAGATGGAAAGACTGAAAAACTGTGCTGGGTCACAGGTGTCTGAGGAGAAGCAACAATTAGATATGCTGCGTGCACCTGGATCCACTCCTGGACAATGTCAGTGGAATGCCTGGCAAAACAGGAACAGGGTCCGTGGGTTAAGTGGCAGGTAGGTTTGTGGCAAAGTTCATGTCCCTTTCTGGAGGGTTAAATGCTCCTTATTCAGGAAAGTGTCCTTGCTTTCAGGAAACCATGCTGAAATGTTTAGAAGAGACAGGACCTCCTGCTCCAAGAAAGTTGCAGAAAGACCAATGACAGTATGTGCGCGCACATGTGGATACATATGAGCGCACACCCGTACAGATGTACATATACATGCGTATGCCCACACAAAAATGCACACACATACATGGTGGGGAGAGGAGGGGCACACCAGAGCAAATGCGGTAAATGCCAACTCTGGGGGCATCTGGATAAGGCAGATATGAAACTTCGTTGCTCTGTGAATGAGTAGGAACCCTGTGCCACTCACAGACATGGCACCACTGCTGAGGCTCAGGATACAAGGATAGTCACAGCTGTCCCCTCCACCCCACTCCGCAGTGGCCACAGGCAACCTGAGTGGGGTCACTAGCACACCCTGGCCACTTCCCCAGGCCCCCGTGACCTCACCTGAACTTGCTTCAGGGACAGGCCAGGTGAATTCACACTGGGAGGTTTTCTGACACTTTTGCCAGAGGCACGCATATGACACTCCCATTTAACAGATTTACTTCTTGTCATTAAATTTTAAAATGTAGTTACTGTCATAACCTGTATGTAGCTGTGTGTGTAGAGAAAAGCACCGCAGAACTTACAGACGAGGACTCTACGATATGGATCTACTAGACATTTCAGTGTATGAGACTCCTTCCTAAGACAGTGTAGGGGGCTGACGGCAGGCACAGTGACAACACCGACCTGCCAGGGAACTGGCCAAAGCCACGTGAGCTGGCTTACCTGGGTGTGGGGTAAAGTGTGCATGCGGCCCACACTGTGGCGGGAGCTCCCCACAGTACTGGTGCTGGAGCCTCTTCTCTGGACCACACCCTCGAGAGCTGCCTTTCTTCCTCTCGTGGCCCTTCTTTATGGAGTCCCCACATTGGTGCTGCATTGAGTGGGGACTCAACAGATGTCCAGAGTCTATCGTACCAGAAAACATTTTACAAGTTTTATTTCATCAGAAATTCCCTCTTAACCTTCTGATCATGTATGGCAGCTATCAAGGACACAATGAAAGAAGAAAACGGTGACTGAGCAGGTGGATTCATAGCTGGACCACCCAGCTGAGGAAAAAGGGCAGCATGGTGCTGGCACCAAGACACAACAAGAAACAAAACACCACCCGGAATAGAGAGAGAGACTCAAGGCAACTGAACTCACACACATGCCAGTCACAGGAAGAGTAGACAGTCTCTTCATAAGCGCAAAGGCAGACAAAGATTTCTTGTTGACAAAAGGACACCCAAAAGCACAAACCATATGAAGAGCAGAACTGACCACCTGGATTTCATCGACAGCCTCTGCTCTGGGAAGCACTGTTGGCAAACAAAGCAAGCCACAGATTGGGAGTGTCTGCGGCACTTCCATCTGAGAAAGGGCTCATGTGAAGACAACCACAGAGCAGGTATTATGACCAATACCAAGGAGAGGGGAACAGACCCAAACAGCCGTGTCCCATCACAGTCTTCAGGGAAGTGTGTGTCAGAACCTTGAGGAACCGTGCCCCCAGAGGAGCCAGACCTGAGGGAACCAAGACCAAGCCAGCGGGGACACCCAGAGTGCAGAGGTCCTCATGCCAGCCGCTGAATCCTGGGATTTCAGCCCAAATTTGTGCCTCAACCTATGGCTGTCTTCAGGAAAATTTCTTAGAAACTCAAAACAGAAGAAATGGAGCAGTAGCATATATACAAGTCCTGGTGGGGAAGAGGCCCTGAGCAAAGACCATGAAGAAATCCACGCGCTGCCAACACTCAGTAACATCTGCGTCCAGTCTAAAGTTCTGAACCCGGCAGGTTGAGCATTCAGCGTCTCCTAAGCTAAGTGGATAACCCCGGGGGGTGGGTGGGGAGGGGATGGAAACTAGTGTTACCAGCCACAGGATACTTTATGTCCTCGTCTACTCTGACCTTTTAGGTCTCCCTGTCAGTACAGCTGTAGTCAATCTGAGAAAGGACAGTTTGAACAACCACGCAGAACAATATACTTAATATACTGACAGGTATCACAATTCTCTAATCCAAACTACTGGTAGTTACAAGTTCAGAGACTTCACAAGGATTCTGTACATAAAGGTGAGTTTTCTGGAAGCACAGCTTTGTGCTGGGGAGCCAGAGATCACCAGCCCCCCAGCACAAGCTGGGCCCCCTGGGCCCTTGTGGTGGAGTAGAAGCCTACCTTGGGAACTATGGAGGTCAGTCTCTCGCTCCCTCAGGCTGGAACTTGTGCTCCCAGGAGGGTTGCTCAAGTCCCACTCACACTCAGCGATGAGATTCAGGACTGCCTCGTCATCTGCATCCATGACCAAGCATTTCTTGGCTGAGGGGTCAGCACACATGGCCCTAGAGTGACACAGTCTGCAAGGAAAAGCAAACTCAGTGCTATCGCTCAAGCCTGCATCCCGCACCAGTGCACATGGACCCTGTAAAGGAAGACAAGTGCCCTGCCAGCACAACCACAAGGTCTCCAGGGAGGAGGAGCTGGTGCACAGCAGAAAATGGCTCTGGGTGCCTCTACTACAGAAGTCAATGCAGGACTTCCCCAGGACAAGCACTGATGAAAAGAAGGCCCTGTAATGTCGCCATGCCATCTGAACATGGTATGGAACCCCAGGAGGGTCTGCTCAAGAATGAAAGTTCCAGAAAGCTCCTATTCTGACATCCCCTAGTGTGTTCTCTTCCTAGCATATCTGCAACTTGACACATGTGATCAAGAAACTTAAAGGATATGGTGTTCCTTTAAGATACACGTGATCAAGAAACTTAAAGGCTATGGCGTTCCTTTAAATTTGGTGTTCCAAATTTCTATCTTTACATTAAGTGAAATCTCTCCACACTGACTGAATATAAAGTGTTCTACAATACAACATCCCTACCAATGGTGACCCTCCAAATGAATGCGAACACACACAAAGGGAGTTCATTTCCAACACAGGCAGCTTACAAAATCTCTTCAAGATAACATTCAATCATATACTATGAATGTTGGTTTTACGATATCTGATTATACTTTCAGAAATCAACACTATTTTCTACTCCTAAGAGTTTTCTTGCCCACTGCAGAGGGAAGGGACTTGGGTTCTCTTTCTAGGTCTGCCCACAGAAACCTAACACATGACACATTTCTATCTTGTGGGTCTCCATGTCACCTCTAGATCATGAGGCTGCACCCTGTCATCTATTAGGCACTCTGAGCTCTAAACTCCGTGATAGTTCAGCCTTGAGATTGTCAAGGACAAGTAAACCACAAAATATTGTTGGAAGAAATTAAAGAAGATATGAATAAATAGAAACACATCCCATCTTCATGGACTGGAAGACTTAACATTGTTAAAATGTCAATACGCCCCAAAGCAACCTACAAGAATCAGTACAATACCTATTAAAATCCGAATGACATCTTTTGCAGAGACAGAAAAACACATCTTAAAATGCATCTGGAATCTCCAGGGACTCCAAATGGCCAAACAATCTTGAAAAAGAAGAGCAAGCATTAGAACTCAGATATGGCAGTAATGCTGGCATTATTAGACTAGGATTTAAAACAACTCTAAGTAATAATGCTAAGAGGTCTAATAGAAAAAGCAGACAACATACAAGAACACATGGAAAATTTAAGCAGACAATTGGAAATTCTAAGAAAAAATCAAAAAGAAATGCTAGGGATCAAATGCACTGTAAGGGAAATGAAGAAAGTCTCTGATGGGCTCATCAGTAGCCTGGACACAGCCAAGGGCACAATCTCTGAGCCTGAGGATAGCTCGATACAATCCTCCAAAGTTAAAAAACAAAGAAAGAAAAAGACTGAAAAACCCCACAGTAAAATACCCAAGAATTGAGGGACAACCATAAGATGTAACACATGCTTAAGAAGAACATCAGAAAGAAAAGAGAAAAAGGAACATAAAAAATATTTAAAGTCTGAAAATTTCCTCAAATTAATGTCTGACACCAAACCACAGATCCAGGAAGCTCAGAGAATACTGGCAAAATAAACACCAAAAAATTTACATCAAGGAATATCATTTTCAAACTGGAGAAAATCAAAGGAAAAGAAAAAAAATGCTAAAATAAGCCAAAGGGAAAAAACATTTTCTGTGTAGAGGAATAAATACAAGAATTACATCTGACTCCCCCTCAGAAACCATGTAAGCAACACAAGAGCAAAGTATTTAGATTACTGAAAGAAAAAACTACCACCCTAGAATTTGGTATCCTGCAAGATTATCCTTTAAAAGTAAAGGAGAAATAAAGGATTTCTCAGAATAACAGGAATTGGAATTATGTTGCCAACAGACATGCCTTATAAGAAATGTTAAGTCTTTAGAGGGAAGAATGATACAGGTCAGAAATTCAAACCTATATGGAAAGGAAGAGCATTAGAGCCGGAATAAAATAAAAATTTTTATTTTATCTTATTCTTAATTGATCTAACAGATAACAACAACAATATATTTGATTATGGGTGCCCACATATTAGATGCATGATTATAGCTTATGTATCGTGAAACGAATGACAGCATCTGTAATACAAGGGACAAGAGAGTAGAATTTGGAGCGTTTTGTTAGTAGGAGGTATTACCACTACCTGTGAAGTACTGCAATAGTATTTGAAAGTGGGCATGTAGTAGTTGTGAAGGTCTCCTTCATACTCTAGGACAACCACTAAAAAAAGTAAAAATGTAAGTATATCTGATGTGCTAACAAAGGAGAGAAAATGGAATGGTATAATACACTCATTTACAACCACAAAAGGAAGAAAGAGAGAAGACAAGAAAAGGAACAAAGAAAACAAGAATGAACATAGTAGATAGATATAAATCCAACTCTATCAATACCACTTTAAACATCAATAATCTAAACATTCCAATTAAGAGATTCAAGAACCAACTACATGTTGTCTACAAGAAACCCATTTATTTATTTATTTATTTATTTATTTATTTATTTATTTATTTATTATTTAAGATTTTATTTATTATATTCATGAGAGACACAGAGAGAGAAGCAGGCTCCCTTCAGGGAGCCCGACGTGGGACTCAATTCTGGGTCTCCAGGATCACGCCCTAGGCTGAAGGTGGCACTAAACCGCTGAGCCACCCTGGCTGCCCAAGAAACCCATTTCAAATATAAAGACATATACGGATAAAAAGTAAATGGTTAAAAACAAGTATATCATGCTGACAGTATTCAAAAGAAAGCAGAAATAACTACATTAATTTAAAATGGAATAGACTTCAAAGAAAGGAAAATTATCAGGAATAAGAGGGGCATTACAAAAAGAGAAGATCAATTCTCCAAGAAGACATTAACATCCTTAACCTGGGGATCCCTGGGTGGCGCAGCGGTTTGGCGCCTGCCTTTGGCCCAGGGCGCGATCCTGGAGACCCAGGATCGAATGAATCCCGCGTCAGGCTCCCGGTGCATGGAGCCTGCTTCTCCCTCTGCCTGTGTCTCTGCCTCTCTCTCTCTCTGTATGACTATCGTAAATAAATAAAAAATAAAAATAAAAAAAAAATCCTTAACCTGTATGCACCTAACAACAGAGCACCAAAATATACGTGGCAAAAACTAACAGAACTACAAGGAGAAACAGACGAGTCCACTGGAGACTGGAGACTTCAGCACCTCTATACCAGAAATGGGCAGACCTGGCCGGCAGAAAATCAGTAAGGACACAGTTGAATTTAAGAGCACCACCAATCAACTAGACATACCAACATCCACCGACCACTTCATCTAACAATAGACTACACATTTTTCTCAAGCTTACATGGAACATTCAGCTAGATAAGTCACAATGGGAGCCATAAAACACATCTTAACAAACTTAGAAGAATTCATAGAATATCTGCTCTGAGACCACAATGGAATTAAACTAGTAATCAGTAACAGAAAGAGAACTAGAAAATCCCAAATATTTGGGAAATTTAAAAGCAAATTCCTAGATAACAACATATGGCATGAGTCAAGAAATTTCTAGAGAAATTTAAAAATACCTTGAATTAAATTAAAACAAATATATCAAGATTTGTAGGATGCAGTGAAAACACTACTTGGAATATAATTCATAGCACTGAATGCATATGTAAGGATAATAATAAAATCTACAATCAATAATCCAAGCTTCCACCTTAGGAAATTAGAAAAGCAGAGCAAATTAAATCCAAAGTAAGCAGAAGAAAAGAAATAATAAAGATCAGAGCAGCAATCAATGAAATTGAAAACAGGAAATCTACAAAGAAAAATCAACAAAACCAGAAGCTCGTTCTTTACAAATAAAATTGAAAAATCTCTATGCCAGGTTATAAGGAAAAAAAAAAAGATACAAATTACTAATATCAGAAGTGAAAGGCGGATTGTGATGACAGATACAATGGACATTAAAAGGATAATGAAGAAATACCGTAAACAACTCTATGCCTACAAATTTGATAATCTAATGAAACGGACCAGTTTCTGGAAACACACATTTATCAAAATTCACAAAAGGAGAAATGGATAATCTGAATAGATGTGTATATATCAAAGACATTGAATCAATAATTAATAACCCTTTAAAACACAAGGTCTAGATGGGTTCATCGGTAAATTCCAACAAACATTGAAAGAAAAAAAAATTTTTTTTAAACTTAGTCTTTTAAAAGTTCTTTTTTTTTTTTTTAAAGACTTTATTTATTCATGAGAGACACAGAGAAAGAGAGAGGCAGAGACACAGGCAGAGGAGAAGCAGGCTCCACAGGGAGCCTGATGTGGGACTTGATCCCCAAACTAGGATCATGTCCTGAGCCAAAGGCAGACGCCCTCAAACTAGAATCATGTCCTGAGCCAAAGGCAGACGCTCAACCACTGAGCCACCCAGGTGTCCCTGAAAGAAAAAAATTAAATGAATTCTCTATAACCTCTCCAGAAGATAGAAACAGAATACTTTCTAAGTCCTTCAATTTGGCCATCCTTATTTTAACATGTAGAAAACTACAGGCCAATAGCTTTCATGAATACAGATGCAAAAATCCTCAACAAAGTATTAGTATATTGTATCCCACAATGTACAAAAGAATTATATGCCACAACCAAGTGGGATTTATTCAAGGCATGTAAGCCTGGTTCAACATTTTTTTTTTTTTTTTTTTAAGATTCATGACAGACACACACAGAGAGAGGCAGAGACACAGGCAGAGGGAGAAGCAGACTCCATGCAGGGAGCCCGACGTGGGACTCGATCCCGGGTCTCCAGGATCACTACCCCAGGCTGAAGGTGGCACTAAACTGCTGGGCCACTGAAGCTTCCCTGGTTCAACATTTTGAAATCAATGTAATCATCACATCAATAGATTATAAACAAGAAAACTCATAGGCTCATATCAACGGATACAGAAAAAACATTTAACAAAATCCAACATCCATTCATGATAACTGTGATCAGCAAACTAGGAATAGAGGGGAACTCCTCAACTGGATAAAGAACATCTAAGAAAAGCTGCAGCTAACATGACACTCAGTGGTGAGAAACTAGATGCCTCCTTGCTAAGACCAGGACAAGGCAAGGATGGCCTCCTCCCCTTTTTAAAAAGATTTTATTTATTTGACAGAGAATAAGAGAGTGAGAGCACAAGCAGGCAGACAGTCAGGCAGAGGGAGAAGCAGGCTCTGTGCTGAGCAGGGAGCCCAATGCGGGGCCGATCCCAGGACCCTGAGATCATGACCTGAGCCGAAGGCAGACACCTAACCATCTGAGCCACCCAGGTGAAGGGTGGCCCCTCTCATTCCTTCTTTTAAACATCATACCAGAAGTCCCAGCTAATGCAGTAAGACAAGAAAAGGAAATAAAAGGAATACAGATTGGGAAGGAAGAAATAAAACTGACTTTGTCACAGATACATGATTGCCTATGTAGAAAACCCCCAAGAATCAACCAAAAACAAGGAAAAAAAAATCTCTTGGAATTAATAAGCAATGATAGCAAGGCTATCAAATACAAAGAATTATGAGTCGCATTGTGTCCTCCACAACCAAGATATGAAGTCTCAAAACCCTGTTCCTCAGAATGCGACCTTATTTGGAAATGGGGTCTTTACAGAGGTAATCAAGTTAATATGAGGTTAGGCTGGGCCCCTAATCCAACCTGACTGGTATCTTTTGGGGAAACTGGGATACAGAAGCAAACATGCAAAAGGAGAGATTCTGTGAAAAGACAGGAGGAGAAAAAAGACAGCCATGTGAAAACAGAGGACTGGAGAGATGTATCTGCAAGCCAAGGAACACCAAAGATTTCCAGCAGACTACCAGGAGAATCATGAAGTAGATTCTCTCACACAGAATCAATTCCTCCAACACCCTGATTTCAGACTTCTACCCTTAACAACTGTGAGACAGCAAATTTACTGGTTACTTTAAGTCACCCAGTCTGTGGAACTTTGTCACATCAATAGGAAAACTAATACACAGGGTTAATATGCAGAAGTCAACCTCTTCCAACATACCAATAATGAACAAATGGCATTTCAAATGAAATAGGGTAGTATTATTTACATTAGCACCGAAAAAATAACAGCTAATGTATCATTTAACAAAACACGTACAAGATCTGTTTGAGAACTACAAACCTCTGACACGTGAATCAAAGAAGAACTAAATAGACAGATATTCTATGCTCACAGAGACGAAGACTCAATATTGTCAAGGTGTCAGTTCTTCCCAACTTGATCCGTAAGAATTATTGCAATCCCTGTCAAAATCCCAGCAAGGTTATTTCATGGATATTGACAAACTGATAATTTATATAGGGAGGCAAAAGACTCAGAACAGCCACCAAAATACTGAAGAACAGTCAGAGGTCTGATACTACCTGACTCATAATCAAAGAGGCTAGGAAACTTTGTAGGGTTTGTCTCTCTAGGAGCCACCAAGCCCATTCATGAGGCTCCACCTTTATGACTTAATCACCTCCCAGACGCCCACCTCCTAACACCATCACCTAGGAGGGTTAGAATTTCAACATATGAATTTAAGGGGCCACAAACATCCAGACCATCACACAGGGTAACAGGAATAGCTGTCTACACAGTAATTAACCTAGTTTGGAATGGGGAGGTAAGGAGAGTGGGGGCTAAAGGGGATCTGAGGAACAGGAGACCCCAAGGATTTAAAATTGATCCTGAGACATTGGAACAGAAACTGGCAATGTATAGCCACAGGTCCAATCCAGCCCACTGCCTATTTCTGTAATAAAGTTTAATTGGAACACAGTCATTTGTTCAAGTATTACCTATGGCTGCTTTCATGCTACAAAGGTAGAATTCAAATGTTGAGAACGAGATCATGTGGTCCACAAAACCAAAATCATTCACTCTCCAGTCCTTTTCAAAAAAGAATTGGTCAACCACTCCATCAGAGGAATTTAAGGATGAGCTAAAGCACTTAATGCAAGAAGAAAACCATTAAAAGCTCCAGACAAACAAAATGGTGTATAAGCACATATAATCGTAGCACATTACAAGCAATATAAATACTGCCTTAAAAATCAACCTGCAAACCACAAAGACACTTTATGATTTCAGAACACATTTAAATACTATTAACCTTCACTGTGTACAGTTAAACCTAACAATGGAGCTGACAGGAGCTGGGAGGGGGCACGGAAGCGGGCATAGGCAGACAAAAGATCCCACTCCCACAGCTCAACTACATCTGGCAGAGCCAGCACGGGCCACAGGACACTGAGCAGAGAACACAAAAAGGATCATATTCCATGGACTGTACCACTGGGGTCAGAGAGGAAGGGCCTGTGGCAGGGGTCAGTGACTGCTTAAGGTGCTCACACCCATAAAAGGTGATGTGTTTGCATGTTTGGAGATGAGCGAGTAACTCAAAACCTGCAAGCAGAAACAACTGCAGAAGCAACCAATGACTGTCTCTGAGGACGGGGCTGAGGCAGCAGTAAGGGGCTGTCATTTCTCATCACAAGCCTCTCACACTATTTGATTTTACATGTATTACTTTAATAAACTTTTCAATATTAAAAAAGAACTATGAAAAAAAAATAAAAAATAAAAATAAAAATAAAAAAGAACTATGGAAAACAAGGACAAGAGAGGGTGAGAGACACTGTCCCACCATCTCCTTGAGCCCCACTAGCATCTGAGTTTTCTCTTTCCTCTTTTGGACAGCTCCCCTTGAAGTGGCAATCAGCACACAAAAGTCTATATCTTTTAGGTAAACAGTCTACTAACAGGAGAGTCTGAACAGCTCCTCTCAATGTTCAAATAACCACTTCTGTTCATACCTTTCAGCTGTGAAAACGGCTGGGAAGCTCTGCTTCGAGTTGAGTGACTCCTCTGATGCAAACTGTAGCCGGGATGCTTTCCGCTCACTGTCTCTCACAGGACGGTCATCTAGGGATAAAATGCCAGAGAAATCAGCAGCCACCACCATGAAGCAGGTGACAGGCCCCAATGACCCAAGCCCCACAGGAGTCCCTCCCAGAACCCTTGAAGCACCTGACCTTCCCCTTGGGAATAAGGATGCTTCTATCGCACACCCTGCAGCACACTGCACCTGGCTGGAACTGCCACCACTTGCTCACAGACCTTCCATCCCCTGGGGCCGGCCAGCCCTGCCAGAAGTATCCCCATAGGCACTGGGTCGACCCAGTGAAGGAATGCTGGGCTGTGTGGCTACACTTGGTTTCCCAGAGATGCCGAGGACTGATTCCAAGAGGGCTGGCCTACTCACATAAAGCTACTCCTCAGACACTACACTTTGGAGGTAGCCTGCAGCCCGTAGGAAAAGAAATCCACATGCAATTCACAAACAGGCACTTCCGGCAGCACGTTCACCTTCTTTTAATACACATTCTGGGTACCCAATGAGGTTCTTGAACCACACTGAGCACATGTGAGTTGTCTCTGTAGATAAGAGTCCTGAACATGTTAAAGAGAGGATGTCGTGGCCAAGTGTCTGGGCCTAGGGTTTACATCCTCAGTTTCGACGTTTCAACTGTCCCCACATGTGTGCCCCAGAAGGCCTCTACTCAGTTCCTACTCCTGGGTCTTCCCTTAGAATATCTGAGGTTTAAGATGGTTCTCAACATCAAAAGTCAATGCTTTGGGGACACCTGGACGGCTCAGTCGGTGAAGTGTCTGCCATCACCTCAGGTCATGATCCTGGGGTCCTGGGATCAAGCCCCACAACGGGATCCTCGCTGAGTGGAGAGTCTGCTTTTCCCTCTGCCTCTGATCCATGCCGCCCCCCTGCCCAACTTGTGCTCGCTTTCTGTCTCTCAAATAAATAAAATCTTAAAGAAAAAAAAAAGAAAGTCAATGCTTTGGACCATTAATACATCCCACCACAGAATTAATATTACAATGGTTAAATTCCAAACCTGCTTCCCAAAGAGCATTTAATCTATGGCACACTCCAAAAAGTATACCATTACAAAGAGCAAATGAATAACAAATCAATAACCACTGTCAAAGTGGAAAACAAAGGAGTTGTGCAAATCATACACAAGTGCCTCTGGGGGCTAGGCCCTGTTGCACGTGGGACACCCCAGGAGCTCCCCTCCTCAAGACACAACTGCCTGAGAGATGTCCATGGTGTGGACACTTGCCTGATGGCTAACACACAGCTCTCTACTCAGCCTTTGCTTCACTTCTGAGTGAGTTCCAAATCCCCTACTCTAAGAACACTTCTCTGGACTGTCCCACTATACACTCAGACTCAACACAGTTAAAACCAATGCAAACGCATTTCTCCCCAAATCTATACCCCCTTCTGACTTTGCAACACTCTCCTCTCCCAGACCCCACAGCCCCCAGCACTGAGTCCCCATATGCTCCCCTCGCTGTTCTTCTGTCCACACTCCTCCAGGGGCTCTCAACTTCTCACCTGGAACCCGTGATGGCTCTGATCTTACTGGGGACCTGGTTAGTGTATATGCTTCCAAAAGGAGCACTGGGTACCCTGTTGGGTAGAGTGAGCCTTCAAAGGGTTCTGGGACTCCCACAGGACTCTGACCTTCAATTGTGTTCCTTTTGCACACCTAAAGGTATCATTCTTATGTCCCTTCTCCACACAAACACTGTAAGATTCTGAATCTAAAACTTTTATAACAAAGGTAAAATAATGATTTAGGATTGGAAATGGCAAGATTTTCCCATAATATGGACTAATAACGCTTCTGAAAAAGAACCAGATTCAACTATTCATAACTTAAACAGTCAAAGAAGTTAAGAACATCAGCCTTTACTCCTCCTAAATGCCTAAAAATTAAAACTAAACATTGAAATTCTAAGTAGGCTTGAAAATAACCAGTGTGCCAATAGGGAAGTTGGTCACTGATACCCACAGCCCATCCCTATGCCCAGGCCCAGGCAGGTGTGGCCTAGCAGAGTGGTCAGGCTCCCTAGAGCCTACAGTTCACCAGTGCAGAGTGGGGGAGAGGCCCCGGGAGAGAAGCCAGCACAGACTCGTGCAGCAAGGTGTTCATGAGAGAATCTATCTACTCACAGCCAAGAGATGCAAAACATGGGGTCTCCAGGACACTGGCTGGACACTGCCAGGACAGGAGCCACAGTATGCCCACAGCTCAGTACCTACCACACACAAGAACAGTGGAGTATCTTCCCTGACAAGTGCTGCTGTGATTTGGGTTTTACTTTGGTTTCATTAGGTCAGCACCCAGAAGATGGAGACACCTGAATGCCCCCCAACCTCACCAAGCAGTGAACTGGCCCTCAGGACCGAGGACACACTGATCACTGAGGACACAGAACACTGCCCTTCCAGCAGACATGCTCACACCGCCACCACTCAGCACTTATACCCTCTTCACATGGGACTGTGGGCATGAGGTTCCAGGCCCTCTCCGTCTCCATGCTCTAGCACTGGACGTGTGACACAGGGTAGGCACTGGCAGGGCCACCAGCCATATGCTCATGGATAAAACAACTCTTGGTAGCCGGGGAGGTGGGTGGGAAGGTGCCACTATGGTTTTCCCCAAGCAGACCCTCCCAACTGGGCATGGCTGGTGGGCATTCCAGAAACTTGGCCTGTGAGCCTGACACAAAGATCTGTTTCTTCAGGGACATGGGTTACTAAGCCAGTGGGTGTCTACACCTGCCAAGAGAACCTCGTACTCTCCTATCCCTATCATCTGGGAGAGGGTATGGCACATACACTTCTCTTCCTGTATCTAACCTTCCAGGTGGATGTGAAACCAGGTAGAATCCAACTGCCTAGTGAGCCTGAGATGAAGCCCAGGGAGCCAGGCAAGGAAAGGGCACCAGACGTTCAGAGAATATATCCAAGCCAATCAGCTAGAAAGTGGAGGGCCAGAAATGATCGGGCAGCCTGGCCCCTACCTGTGCTCATGGCCTTTCCTCAGCAGGTCTGTGTGGCCAGAGCTCCCTGCCCTCCTGCCAGGCACCATTCCAACAAGACTCAACCTGAGACACAGGGACTCAACCAAAGGAGTAGAAAATCAACTTCTAGCATAGAGAACACCTATTAGTGCTCCTGTGAGCAAGGATGTGAGCACAGCCATGTCACCTACCTAGCTGCCGGAGCTTCGGGAGCATGTACACAACAAAAAGGCGGTAATCAGATTCATTCTTTACGACGGGGTTCAGCCGGAAGTCCACATCTGTGAGTTCTGTCAAGGAGTGGAGCCAAAGCACTTCTGCTAATGAGGAGATACTGTTGTAGTAGAGATTGAGACTTTCCAACGCAGTCAGGTACTGAATGCCCTGTCAACAGGACAAAATGCAGAATCAGTTCGCACTTCTACAAACATTGAAACAGACCATTGATATGAATCAACACCAACTTAACAAATGCACCTGCAATGGCCATATGCCACTACCAGGAAGAGCACAAAGACAGAAGTGTTCTAGGTAGGAGGCTCCGTGTCTCACACAGGAAATGGCCATTTGGCATGACATGTCACGTTCACAACAGTCCTAATGGCGCTGAGGATGGCCTGTATCTACTGAGTTCTCACTATTTCATTCAGTCTGCACACAATCCAGGTGTGACACACAACCTCACACCACAGAGTAAGAGCTATTACTGTTCCCACCATACAGATGAGAAACCAGCTGCACGGACTGAGAGGTGACCCAGCACAGGGGGAAACTGGGCTGAGACTCACAGGTGACTCTGAGCAGGGCCCCCACACCGTGTCAGGGGCACACTCTGTGAAGGGGGCAGGAAGTCATGAGCAGAAAGTATGCACAACTTTCCCACTTGCCATCACCTGGGTGATTTCTTCCTTGCTTACGAGGACCAAGCACCCACATCAGGAACACTGCAGGAAGCCTCTCACTCATGGCACCACCACGCAAGGGTCTGAGGCCACCAAGAGTCAGACTATGAACAGATGTGAAGTGCAGAATGTGGATGAAGAAAAGCACAGCTGAGACAGGGATGGTAGTGACTGACACACACACTAGTCTTTCAGGCCTTATTTCAGTTCCTTTAAAGATACAACTATTTTCATCAGAGATAGGACTTCTGGTTGTCAAAGTCATTTAAAGACGTAATGAGGGATCCCTGGGTGGCGCAGCGGTTTGGCGCCTGCCTTTGGCCCAGGGCGTGATCCTGGAGACCCAGGATCGAATCCCACATCGGGCTCCCGGTGCATGGAGCCTGCTTCTCCCTCTGCCTATGTCTCTGCCTCTCTCTCTTTCTCTCTCTGTGACTATCATAAATAAATAAAAATTAAAAAAAAAAATAAAGACGTAATGAGATGCATGAGAAAAACCCAACACCTATAACTGTGGTTAAGCATATAGCCTACACGTAAGCACAGGTATAAAACAGACTGCATTTTTTTTTTTTTACCATAAATGTACTTTCCACTGCTGATAGCAATTAATATTCTTTTAGGAAACAAAACTAAAACTTACCTCTAGGCTCACCAAGGAGTTGCGTGAAAGGTCTAATGATTTTAGACCTGTTAAATGCATCAAGGAATTTCCTAGGTGAGTAATCTTTTCTTGGTAAGTTCCAGGAATAGATAATGACCGAAGTTCAGCTAAGAACAGAAAATTATGAGACTTTAACCTTACTTTTTAGTGGAAATAAATTACTATAATAAAAGTGAGCTATAGCAACCTCAGAATCTGAAAAAAATCATGAAAATAATGTAACTCATTCAAAGTTTGAATACTGGTAAAGACGAATTGCTAAGGTTTTAGCTTGTTTACCTTCAAAATGTCTCTGAGCCCTTGCCCTGCTGCCCATCCCCTCTGCTTCTCCCCTCAAACCCTCTCCCACCAGCAATACCCTCCTAAGTGGGCTTGTACTTTGACAGCTGGCTGCTCAACTCCATTGCCCGTGCAGCCTTCACTTAGAGATCACAATCTGAAACCCACTGGTTAGCTAACCCAACTGCTTCATGCCAGTCACAGGCGAGGGCACAGTGCATGCTCTATGCACCACATGCCTCTGCATGGCACACTCAGTAAGTGACCATGAAGTCAATGTTGCTACAAAGTAAGTTTCTGTAATCAAAAAGACAGCTTGGGTCTGGGCACACCAATGTTTTAAAACACATCTCAATTTAATTTAAAACTGGTCTGTGGGCCTCCATTTCCAGAAAAGACAGTATAAAACCATTTCATCCTATTCCTACTCACATATTATGCCTAACTCCCTGGACAACAATGTATAAACCAAGCACCAGACAACTCTGGAGTGTGTGGAACGGGTCCACATCTAGGGACCTCAAGAAATGTCACGCAGTGAGGGCCCTGCGTTGGTCTCAGGGCTGTTTTGTCTTCTATACACCCCAATCCAAGTGCCAAAGAAGCTAGCAACCCAGAACCATCAATGGACTCTTACATGTAAGGGTAAGCCTGTGGTCCAGGGTAGAAGGACCAGGATGGGGGTCTTGCAGCACATGCTCCTGACACCAGCCCCACGCTAGCTCCATACACCTGCCACGCACAGTGGCCAGCAATGGGACTGTGCGAAGGGACCCTGACTACAACTCCAGCTGGGCTGCTAGGAGGTGGCCCACAAGCATCTATGGAGGCTATGTGAGCAACAGGAGCCTGTCACCACCTCAGAAACAAGGCAGTGCCCACTCAGTGCCAATACTGTGTAATGAGATTTAAATAAGGAACCAACATGGAGATGACAGAAGTCAGAATTATTTAACAAGAGTTTTAAAGCAGTAGTTCAATGAACAATTATCAACACTCCTAAAACAAATGATAAAACGGGACCTTGGTCAAAAAACAGAAGATATAAAGAAACAAAAAGAAATTTTAGAAATGTAAAATACAATAACTAAATAAAAAATACCCTACAGAAGCAGCTCCGTAACAGAATGGAGGTGACAGAAGAAAAAAATTCAAAGTAAATGCAAAGATATTGATCAAAATTGTCCTATTTTTCCAGCAGAGAGAAAACAGACAAAAATAAATAAAGAGCAGAGCCTCAAGTGTCCATGGAAAACGATCTAACATTTCTGTCAAAGTCCCAATGCAGTTCCAATTAGAGTTCCAAGAAGAGAAAGAAAAGACATTACAACTAAGAAAAAATTCTAGCAATTAAAGAAATAATGGCTGAAAGCTTATCAAATTTGCCAAAAGACATAAAGCTACATATTCAAGAAGTTGAGAAAACCCCAAACAGAATAAAGACAAAAAAAAAAAAAAAGCCACGCCCAGATACATCAGAAATAAACTTCTAAAAACTAAAAACAGTGAAAGAATCTCGAAAGCAACGAGAGAGAAAAGGTGTGACCCACAGAGATAAAACAACTCCCAGGGCAGGGAGGGGATTACCCTTCAGAACAGAGGTGGCCTGAAGGAAGGAGCACCACATTTCTGGAGTGTCAAGTGCTGAAAGAAAGAGTCTTAGGTACTGAGGTGAAACAAAGATATTTTCAGACGAAGAAACAAGACAATCTGTCACCAGTACACCTGCCCTAAGGCAATTGTTACAGAAAACTCTTCAAACATAAAGGAAGGATAACAGAAGAAAACCTGAAGCATCAGAAATGAAAAAAATAATGAAACAATGTTTCCTTCTAATTTAAAATTGTGGATGACCATAAAAGAAAAAAATGATTAATGTGGTTCTCAAGGAATACAGAGAAAATATTTAAGACAACTAAATTATAAAGGAGAAGAAACCAAAGAAAACAATGGATGTAAGGTTTTGACATTTTGCATGAAGGGGTAAAATGGTCATACAAGTAGAGTGTATTAAATTATACAAATCCACTGCAATTTATAAAGCAACCTCTAAAAACACTATACAAAGAGATATGCTCAAAAATATAATAGATAACTCAAAATGAAACACTAAAAAAAATCCTCAAACCACAGAAAGGCAGGAAAAGGGAAACAAAAGAAGAAAAAGGAAATGAACAGAAAACAATAAAGTGGCATGCTTCAGCCCTCACATATTAACAATTGCATTTAATGTAAATGGTCTAAATACGCTCTAAAAAAGAGGTTGGCAGAGTAAATAAAAATGAACTAACTACACACTAATCTACAAGAACCTTATTTCAAATGTAATGATGTAGGTTAAGTTTAAAGATTAAATTACAAATAATGGGGAAAGATGTGCCCCGTAAACACGAATCCAAAGGAAGCTGGCGTGGCTACACTAGTAGATGTCTCAAGGACAAACAGGTACATTGCGTAGTTGCAAGGGTCACTCCAAATCCTAAATACGAATGCACAGCTTCAAACATATGAGGTGAAAAGAGAAACAGATGAATCCATGATTAGGATTAGGGGTTTCAACACTCTCCTTCCAGTAATTAACACAATTGCTAGGCAGAAAATCAACAAGGATAAAGAACTGATCATCATCAGCCAATAGGATGTAACTTATACTTACATAATACTCCACCCAACAACAGAGTACATTCTATTCAAGTGCACTTGGAACATTTCACCAATTCAGACCAGCTCTTGGAGCAAAACAAACCTCAACAAATTTAAAATAATTAAAATCATACAGTATATATACTGTGACCATAATGGAATCACACTAGAATCAGTAACAGAATGAAAAAAAGAAAATCTCCAAACACACAATGAGAAAACACTCCCAGATAATCCACAGGTCAAAGAGTAAGTCTAAAAAGTCTAAAAATACACTGAACTGGGGCACCTGGGTGGCTCAGTAGTTGAGCATCCGCCATTGGCTGGGGGAATGAACCTGAGGTCCCGGGCCTGAGTCCCACATCCGGCTCCCACAGGGAGCCTGCTTCTCCCTCTGCCTGTGTCTCTGCCGCTCTGTGTCTCCCATGAATAAATAGTTTTTTAAAAAATATATATTGAAAATGAAATATAACAAAATTTGTGAATGCAGCTAGAGCTGTGCTTAGAGAAAAATTTACTAGAAAATTAAAAGGCCTCAAATCAATAATCTAAACTCTCACCTCAAGAATCTACAAAAGAAGGGGCAGAGCACCTGGGTGGCTCAGTTGGTTGAACGTCCAACTCTTGGCTTTGGCTCAGGTCATGATCTCAGGGTTGTGGGATTGAGCCCCTACTCAGGCTCTGTGCTAGGCCTGGTGCCTGCTACCATTCTCTCTCTACAAGCCCCCACACTGCCTCTCTCTCTCTCTCCTCCTCTTTCCCCCTCCTCCCCTTAAAAAATCTACAAAAGAAGAATAAAAAATAAATGTGAAGTGAGCAGAAAGAAGAAAATAATAAAGAACAGAATCAATGAAATTTGAATCTATGAATACAATGGAGAAAACCTCAACACACTGAAAAGTGACTCAATGAAAAGATTAATACACACAGTTCACAAACTCCTACCAAGTCTAAAAAAGACAGAAATAATAACTAACAGGCAGTATGGAAGAAGGGTTTCAGGACGGAACCCAAGACCTTAACAGGCTAACACAGGAGCATGACAAACAACTCTATACGAATAAATTCAACAACTTCTAAGAGAAAAATCAATTTTACAGATCCCAGCCATAATTCCCTCACCCGAGAAGAAACTGGTAAGAAGAGCTGTATAACAATAAATTAAATTTGTAATTTAAAAGCCTCAAACAGAACGTTCCAAGGCCACAGAATTTCCGCGGGAAAACTCCATCAAGGAAGAATGAGCATCAATTCCACCCGACCTGTCCTAGAACACCGAAGAGGAAGCACTCAGCTTTACCCTGCTGCCAAAACCAGAGAAAAACAGGACAGAAAGAAAACTGCTGACCAGCGTCCTCCGTGACAGAGGATGCTCCTGCGGAGAGGAACCGCAGGGCCAGCTCTTCCACAAACGAAGGCTGCTGGTTCAAGGCTGTTCTAAAAGCCAAACCAAACCGCCTTATTTAGGGGTAAAAAAAAATAATAAAACAAACCCATAAGGGTAGTCAGTGCTCTTCTTCATTTCTGCTCAGGTCTCGACCTCTGAGTCCAGGGACCCAGTAGGGCTGCCCCAACAGCTCAGAGGAGTCTCAAGAGGAGTCGGCTCCTCTCCCCCTGCCCCCCCACCACAGGGCCTCCCTTCCCACCACTGGGCCCCTCCCCCCGCACCCTCCCCACAACAGGCCCCCTCCCCCACGCCCTCCCCACCACAGGGCCTCCCTCCCCAACCACTGGGCCCCCGCCCCGCCCCCTCCCCACCACAGGGCCTCCCTCCCCAACCACTGGGCCCCCGCCCCGCCCCCTCCCCACCACAGGGCCTCCCTCCCCACCACTGGGCCCTCACGGCTCCTTCGACGGTTAAGAAGAGCGCGTCAGGACGCCGCGCCTCTGGCCCGACCCCGTCGGCGGACGCCGTGGGGGAAGCTCGCTCCCTCAGCCGGCCCGCCGCCCCCGCCGCGCACCCAGGTCGTGGTGAGGCGCCAGGCCGCTCTTCTCCCGGATCTTCTCCTCACACAGAACCAGCCAGGGGCCCGCAGGCGCCATACTTTCAAACGGCACGCACCTGCGCCCGCGCCTGCGCAGTGGGGCCGCGGGGGATCCGCGAGGGGCGGGGCCGGGTCGGGAGTGGGCGGGGCCTGGCGGGGGCGGGGCGAGCGGTCGCCCGCTGGCCTACCAGGCTCACAGGGAGTCCTGCCCTCAGTGGGCGCGGGGCCCTCCCCGGGAAAGCCCGCCGGCCCGTGGGGTCCCTGCTCCACCTGGGGGCCCCAGCCCGTGGCTCCTCCGCTGACCATCCCTCTAGGATCTTTATGGAGCGTCGTGAGAAGGACTTGAGACCATCAGGGTTTAGGGAAGACCCCGTTCTAGGTCCCAATGTGCCCCAACCAGCCAGGTCCATGGGGTCACCCCCTCCCTACCCCCTGTCCTGGTGTCTAGGGGCCCATCTGCTACCCAAGATATGACCAGCCTGTTGGCAAAGTCAGCTGGCATCTCACTGCCTGGGTAGTAGCATAGGGGGCTGTTGAGCAGGGCGTGTTGGGGAGGAGTATGGGGGTGCACAGCATGGTGGGGTTGCTGAGCGAGGCAGAGTTTCCCACCTGGCCTCCCCCAGCCCTTGCACTGGTGCAACATCTTTTGAACTGGCAAGTGTGCTGTAAGATTGTGTTGACCTGGCTGGGGTGCTGTGGGATTGTGTTGACATGGCCAAGGTGCCATGAGGTTGTCGTGTAACTGACAGAGACTCCATTCCAGGTATCCTGTGTTTCCTTTCCCAGGGATCTGGGCATGTCCCAGGCCCAGCAAGTGGTCACCACAGCAGGTCAGCTGAGTGGAACTCTGTGAAGGCAGGACAGAGTTAGAAACTGGACAAACGACTGGCCTCGGAAACACCCCCCTGGCACAGACCCCTCCCTCCTGCAGCAGCAGTCACTAAGGGGGGAGTGAAGATAGTGGAACAGCACCACACAGTGTCAGTGTTTCTATCACAATGGAAGTGCCAACAAACCTCAACAATCCTGTTCTCTACTTCCTGAGGTACTATATATTCATTGCAGAAAAGACGCAAAATGCCAGAAAACAAAGGCTAAATACTCGGCCACACTGAGATGACCATGGTAACATTTTCACCTGGATCTTTCTAGTGTGTTTTCCAAGTCTGTGTATGTTTTATGATATTGAGACCATGCTGACCATTCTCATATGTGGACACACATATATTTTTACTCTGTATGAACTCTTTATGTCACTAAATATTCTTCAATATCATTATTAAATGTCATTTTTAGTGATCACATTAGGTCATGAATTAAACCCAGGTTTAGACAACCCGTCTTCTGTTCTGGACCTTCCACCTCTCCGTTTGTTTGTGGCGATAAATCTAGAGGGGTATGATCTTAAAGTTCCTTTTGAAGAGCTGTGGAGTGACCTGAGGATGGACCTATGCCCGGGGGCTGAGCAGCTTCAGGGGTCCTCGAGGATGCAAGTGGCCTGAGACCTTCGGACGTTTACTAAACGATAACAGTCCCTGTCAGGGAAGGGGTGCAGGTGGGTGGAGACCTGCCGTGTGCTCACAAGGCAAATGGGGCAGTTTTTCCTTCTCCCTAAGAGAGGGGAGCTGAGCCCAGCCCTGGGAGCCAGTGTGGCTGAGGGGTGCCAGGGGAGTCAGCAACGGGGACAAGGTGGGGGTTCTGCAGGCAGGCTGGTGTGACCTGCTGTGGCAGCCACAGCCCCAGCCCCAGAGCAAGTCCAGCTGTGTGGACTCCACATGATTTTTTCAGTAAGCACTCACTGCACGTGACTCTGGAAAGGGTGGTGCCAGGCCTCTACTGGCAGGACCTGCAGCTCCAGGGGAGCTCTTCTGGGTGAGTGGGGCCCTGGCCCCTGTGGTACTCAGCCTGGAAACAGCCCCTCATGGGTTATTGGCACAGTGGGTGTCTCTAGGCCCTATGGCCGAGACGCCAGTGTCTATATGGAAGGGGCCAGTGGGCCCAGCCTCGGGAGCATAGGCAGGGCCTGTGAGAGCTGGTAAACATTCTGTTTGGTTCAGGTTTCAGATAAGATGCTAGGCCTCAAGGAAATAGGCAGGATGGCTGCGGCAGGGCAAGTCAGCTTCACCACCAGTGCCCAAACCTCTGTCCTAAAGCTCGGCGGCAGCGCAGCTCCCAGGGCCTGGGCATGATTTGTCCCTCCCTGTTCAGCCAGAAACCCCTGCTTGCACACCCCACCCACAAAGCCCAGGAGCGTCCCCTAGCCCAGGAATCTCCATCCATAGGGTGGGTGCCTGGTGTCCCTGAGCCACCCCTGCACCCATCAGAGCTGAAAACCAAGATTTCTCAAGAAGAGGCCGACTTCCAATTCCTTCTGGAAGTGGGGACACGGACAACTGGCACAGTCTCCCTACAGGGAAGGCCTGTGAGCCCCTCGGGCCTCTGAGCCATGACCCTCACCTGGAGTTCAGGGGCCCTACCCACCATCTGGGACACAGGTCCACTCTGGCACACTGGACCCCGTAACCACCCTGCACCTAGCATCTTCCAAGTGGGAACTGCCCCTGTACCCACCCCCTGCCTCCCCTCCCATGACCTACTCACCTGCTTAGCTGCCAGGAAGAGCTACAGGGCTGAGAGAGTAAGCCCACCTCTGTCAGATCTGGGGTCTGCAGCCTGCTCCCCACCTCTGAGGCTCTAGTGAGCACAGGGTTCAGGGGCCTTTGGACCAGGCAGAGTGTGGCCACACAGAACTCCCCATCCTGGTCCTCTGCTCAGGAGCCTGGGTCATCCACCCTAACCACTCCAGAGAGCGTGCCCCCCGCCCCAGCCAACACTGATCCCTGCAGACCGTGGCCTCACCTTGCCCCCAGCAGGATGCTGTTCCTTGCTGGGTTCAGAGCCATCACCTGGCAGAGCTTGGCGAACGCTGGGAGAGAGGTCAGGTGCCGCCCCCTGTGTGGCTCATGGCTCACGTCCACTGTATGGGGCAGCATGGAGAGCAGGAACACGGGTGAGGTGCAGCTCTTCTGGTTGACCAGTGCAGCTGGAGGCAGGGACAATGGCATCAGGACAGCCAGCCTGTGAAGCAGCCAGCGCCTCTGGCAGGCCCGTGAGCTTGTGTGGCCAGGGCAAGCTGCTCTCTGGACCCCGATTTCCCCATCTCTAAAAATAATCAGCAGGGTTTCGAAGGAACCAGTGGCTCCCCGCCTCTTCAATTTTGCCTGTTTCCGTCACAGAGAATACAGAAGCTCTCTGCACCTCTACGGGGTGACACTGCTGGCTGCTGAGAAGTAAGCACAAGGAGTGGCATTTGGGGGCAAGGTTTTGATTTTCTGGAAAAAAGAGTAAATGTAGGCAGTATGCACCATGCCCTTGAACACAGGTGTGATGCCTGCAGTCAGCAGCACTTAACTTGGGGACAGTGAGGGTAAAACCAGCATTGCAGAGGTGCCTGAACTGGGCTCTAACCTCTTGGCCACTGGTGACTTGCTGCTGCCTGCTGCACTCCCACCTGGTGTCAGGGGGCACCGTGTGTGCACAGGCCATGTGAGATGTGAGACTGAGCCACAGCAGGCAGGGCGCAGGGGCTCCCTTTCTGCCTGGGGAGGGGCGAGTGGGTGGGCATTGCCAGCAGAGGAGTGGGGGTGAGAGGACCTCCCAGGCCCCAAGGCCCAGTACCAGAGGAAGGGCCTGGTGGGGTGGGCAATCCCTGCCTCTGCCCTTGGGTGGAGCACAGGTCCATTGTGGGTGCAGCCTGGCCAAGTGCAGGTGGTTTGTGCAGATGGTGGAGCCGATGAGGGCTGGGTACAAACAAACTGGAAACTCGGTGGACTGGTTTCCCTACCGCACAGGGAATGAGAATTCCTGTAGCCGGACGCCTGCACGCCTGCCTCCCTCGAGGTGATTATGAAAGTAAAGATAAACGGTGGACGGCCCAGCCACACCCATCGTGACAGATACGTGCAGGAGATACAGCAGGAATTCAGGGTCTTGCCTTCAGAAAGCTCACAGTTGACCTCATGGTCTGCACCAGAAAAGGCTATTTTGGGGAAACTTTTACAGAACCAGAAGTACTCCTCCCCCCTCCCCCTCCCTCCCCACTCCAACAAAATCCACGTAAAATCCCTGGAACCTCCATGCCTTCTATGGCAAATGATGAGATTAATTTAAAGCTCTTGAGAGGGATTTATCCTGGATTATCCAGAGGGCTGTGAAGGCAATCCCACAACAGGCAGAAAAGGAGACACACAGACACACATGAACGAAGAGGTGGCAGGGCTGGTAGCTGGGAGCCCCCTGCCACACACACACACACATACGGTGTCTGGAGCACTGGCAGCCGGAAGGACCCCTGCGGAGCCTCCACAGAGAGCTCAGCCCCCAGTGACTCGACCTCAGACTCCAGCCCAGAGCGTGAGAGCAGGTTTGTGTTGGGCAAAACTACCCGTCTGTGCCAACCGGTCACAGCAGCCACAGGAAACCCATAGGCACACGTTCCAAATTCAGTAGCAAGTTGAAACACAAAACGATCTCAGAAGTCTCCTTAATTGGTCCCCTCACGTGCAGAAAACGGATGTTCACAGACATGGAGGGTCTGACCCACGTTCCCAAGATGGCCAGCTGTCTTTATCTTTGAGGATGCTGTGCAGTGGGGCCTGGCCTAGGCTGCCTGTCGTGTGGCGAGTGCTAGGACACTTCCACAGGGTGCCCGCGTCCTCCCACATCTCCGAGGGCCACAGCAGTCCTGCAGACACGCAGGCCCTGCCGGGGCAGAGTCCACCATGCAGGCCTGGTGGGCGGTGGCATGCATTGTCTTGGTCAGTAGCCAAGAGAATCCCACAGGACAGAAGATCCCAGTCTCCCACACCCATTTTACAGGAGAGGGAACCAAGTCTCAGAGGAACTGTGAAACTCGGCCACTGCCAGCCCCTAAACATGCCTGTGTGCCCCTGCAGAGAGACCTCCAGGGTCTTGTTGGGCCCCCTCTGGACTCTAAGGGCAGCCCCAGGGCAAAGACCGTGCAACCTCCTGTGGCTCATGGGCTGTGTGCTCCTGTAACTTCTAATA